AGTGGTGCAGAGAAGCGATGTGGCGAATGCAGCCAGAGGTGTTGGGGAAGGCCACATTGAATAAACTACACTGTGGTTTTAGGAGTTCAGCTGTTAGGGGAAGACTGAGAACAGATTGTGCCCATTAATTATTACTGAGTGAGGCCAAAGAAAAGTGTACCCAGCCCGGATCTTCAGAATCCTGCGTCTGACTGGGTGGGCCTGTGCCTCTCTGGGGTCCTCAGTGCTGCTTGTCACCCACTGCTTCGTCACCCACATCCTCTCAAGCCTCCCACCCCTGCCATACATACTTAGACAAGAGCCTGGTTTGGGGAGAACATCAAATATGAAGGAGGCCCTCGGCGGCGGGACGGGGCGGTGGAGGGGGGTATGATACTATGTCTTCCGCTCACCGGTGCCTCTCAGCCTGCAAACAGCTCATTGCTGATCAAGGCCTTGTTAGTCTTGTGGAAAGGTAGAACAGCCGGTTTCTCACTTTCCTGAATTTATACGTAATTCAGGTCTATAAGATCCTAACAGTGTATGCTAGCTGAGGCCTAGCCAAGGCCCATGAGCTTATTAATCAGCCTCCGTTAACCCAGCAAACGACCTTGATAGTTTTCATTTTGGCTTGAAGATGGTGCTATAAAAGGCTCCACATATGTCACACATCCACTCGGTTGCCATTGGCCCCCAATGCCAGAGACAGCGGGGCTGATGAGCACAAGCCTAACTGATTGATCATGGCGGCCTTTCCTTCATCATATTGTGATTCCACTTTGTATGGAGAAGGGTCTGAATGCTGTCCTTTCCTTATTTCTGTCATCTGCCTTGCCTTTTTGCTCACCGCTTGAAAGTAGTGGGAGCTGGTGCTGTGACATTATTGAGCCCTTTGCCATAGAATTGAATCTATAAAGCCGTGAGTCACTATGACCCTATAAGCTTCAGAAATCTGCTCTGTGCCTAGTCCTTCCTGTACCACTAAGCATTCAAGCTCTGAGCCTGAGGAACGCTGGAAGACACACACTGCCATCATTTTAGCAGATGGTGTGTTTTCGAAGCCAAAGGAAGCAGATAGGTCTTTATCTCTTGGGTATCTATAAATCTTTGCATCTGATTTCTCTTAGCCTTCACTCAGCCTGAAAGCTGTGAGCATGCAGGGGGTGTTGGCGGGGGGGGGGGGGGGGGGGGGGGGGGGGGGGGGGGGGGGGGGGGGGGCGGCGATGGTGAGAGGCAGAAAACTAGAACCTCTCCGTGCTTTTCTTGGCCACACGCTTGCCCTGCTGAAAACGTTTGGGTTTCTCTTCTGGTCACTGCCTAGCTCTATAAAAGCGGTAGAGGGTTGTTCTCTGTGGCCATAGACAGCCACATCATAGGAAATGCTTGCCTTCCTGCCAGTTGCCGGCTTGCCGAGCATCATGGGGCTGTGAAAAAAAAAAACAAAAAAACAAAAAAACAAGTGCCTCTATCCCACAGCCCGTTTACTGAGGTGGATTATATCTCTGGGCCATGGTAGTTGATGATCCAGTTTCACGTTTTTATTGGCACCATAAACAAGCCAGAGAACTATCTGGGCGACTGTGGGCTACAGACATTGCCATTCAGATCACATTTCTTCCTGCAGCAGCTTATATGCAAAAAAAAAGTTCTCAGTGGCATGACACATGGAATAGGGAAATGGTTCTTACTGAATTCAGCCCTATCCAGTGGCTGGCGTTACTCTCTCCAGCCCCTTCTGACAATGGACGGTCCGTGCTCCCCAGGAGCGCGTTGTCCTCCTGTGTGAAAATCCTCGTCTCTTGTTCTAATCCTTTCCTGCAGTGAGTTTCTAGAGAGTTTCTAGCAGCCGGCAGTTACGTTTCTCCCAGGGAGAGAGAAATCCTAAAGGCAGCTATTCTACTTTTACTGAATGTGAAGTGCTCAACAGCGTAATTAAATCCATAAAACGGTGAGTCATGATCACGGCACACCCGTCAGCCAGGAAGCGAGGGACGGAGCCGAGGTTGATTTGCGACCAGCAGCTGATGCTCTTCCTCTGGTAGCCCTCATGTAGGCCTCTCCTGATTTCTGGGCACCAAGCGCGTCATTTCAGTTTTAAGAAGTCGAAGATTTCAGGAGTGTTCTAAAGCGTGCCCAAGGAAACCTCCAATCTGAAAAAGATGTGGTTAAGCCTGGTAGATGTCTGTCTGGAAGGTGAGGGTATGTGAGCATAAGTCTGACATAGGTTATGGAGGTAGTGAAGCAAAGTAAGAAAACAGTATTTCAAAACCTTGCTTTGCAACTAGCACACATTCTTGATTCTTTGTGAAAGATGACAAGGTGAAATTTGTGTGAAATCTGTGGCCAGCACCATTCATCTGAGCATCAGAGAACTGAAGGATTTTATCTAAGGCTCATCTTCCCCTTTCTCGAAGAGGCATTAGCATGTGATGAGGAAAGGAAGGATATAAATGTGTGCTGGTGTGTAGACCTGCTCACACACTAGTAAAAGAAAAGTAAAAGTCAAGGCAGCTTAGAGAAGAGCTGTGTTGAAAACAGTTTAGAACTTCTATAACTTGAAACAAAGGAAAACTTCGAAGGATGGTTTGTGGGAAAGCAGAATGATGTCAGTTAGCAAGAATAAAGGCAACAGTGGTACAAAGTGTTCAGTGGCCTTCTAGCCTTTTGCCCCTTTCAACACACATTTTAGGGCCCCTGGGTAGCTCAGTCAGTTGAGTGTCCGACTTCAGCTTAGGTCACAATCTCCTGGTTCCTGGGTTTGAGCTGTGCATCAAGCTTTGTGCTGACAGTTTGGAGCCTCGGAGCCTGCTTCAAATTGTCTCTCTCGCTCTCTGCCCCTCCCCCACTCGCGCGCGCTCTTTCTCTCAAACATAAACATTAAAAATTTTTTTTAAAAAAACACACAGTTTAGACTCAAGTGGTTCTTTTTTAAAAAAAAAAAATTTTTTTTATGTTTTATTCTTGAGAGAGAGACAGACAGAGCACGAGTGGGGGAGGGGCAGAGTGAAAGAAGGACACAGTCTGAAACAGGCTCCAGGCTCCGAGCTGTCCGCACAGAGCCCGACGCAGGCGTCGCACTTGCAAGCTGTGAGATCATGACCTGAGCCAAAGTCATATGGCCAACTGACTGAGCCACCCAGGCACCCCCTCAAAATGGTACTCTTTTCTTCAAAAAACAGTATACCTTGTGAAATCCTCCCCCAGATGGCACACTGTTCTGTGAACATTTGAGAAATTTTCCACCCAAGACATTTGCGATCATTGCCTTGTTCTTTCTTATCTTCCTCTTGATTTTCCTGGTCTTTGTTTCCAATCTCGTTTCTTACCTCCTTAAGCACCTACAGAGGCCTTGCAGGATTGGTCTGTCTGTCCCAATTTGCACACATAGCCTGTTCAGCGTTCCAATGGGCCATTTACGGGGGGGATAAAACACCTTTCCCTGGTGAGCCTTGTTCTACTGACTCCTCTCTAGTGAACACAGGTGACCTCACAAAGCGTTCCTCGGAAACACAGATGTGTTTTGGGGTCACAGCCACTTGGATGAGCGTGAGGAAAGGTTGTGTTTGAAAAGTAAGCTTCCCTTGAAGAGTGGTTTCCAGTATTTAAGGACCCGTGGGTGGTATCTGTAGGTTAGTGATCTACAAACGGTGTCCATTGCATATGTAATGATTGTGCAAGGGAGAGGAAATGCTGAGTTACTGATCTGTTCTCGCTCAGTGCTGCCAAAACCTTGAGACCCGACTTGATGGAGCCATGCAGAGAATCTTTGTCTCTTGTTTCAGGATTTGGCTTTCAAGGACCTGCAGTGGCAAAAAACCAGGAAGCAGGCGTTCTGAATAGTAGGTCTCTGAAATCCTTGGCACAGGAAACCCAATAAAGTGAATATGAGATTCTTAACTTTGACACCAAGAATAAAATTGCCACTACCGCCCTGTGTGAGTCTGGGAGTCAAAAAGCATTGTAAATGGATTTTTACGTGCTCTCTGTCACTGTGTCTGCACCCCTTGCCCCCGTCACCTGTTAATGTACTTTGGAGTTAGTGTGTGTATCTTACATCTACCACGTGCAGTAAACACTTCCTGTACAAAGGTGCTTGAAACAACATCTGTCATTACATCAAAGAAGGTGTTCCTGCCCCAGTGCAGCTGGACGAGCTCTAATAATGAGATGGCTTTAAATGAGCTTATAATGAAAAAGAAATCTGTGTGAAACGTCTGAACGTTTTTCGTGGAAAATAAGCCGTGTTCCGCGTTCCCCGTTTTATAGTCTCCCTTGACAAACATCGCCTTTGCCTGTGTTCAGCATAGTCCTTGTTCTACGTGAGAAGCTTGAGAATACACTTCTGGTTGTGAAAAGTGCATTTTTGTGTGTGCCGTGTTGGAGAAGCATCATTAAGGAAGGTTGCTATGGTGTTGAATTCTCTCTTCAGGGGGGAAAAGCCCCTCTGCTGAATGTAGTATTTGTGGATTCTCAACCAGCATGAGCATTCCTGACGGAGAGTCCAGAAAAGGTTATAATAAAACTCATTATACAATTAAAAAGGAGAAGAGCTGCCCTCCAGAATGTGAATCCCAACCCAGAAAAGTGTTCAATGAACAAGAACAATACTCAGTAGGTTTTCAAATTGATGGAGCTATCCAGTGGCCACTAATTTGTTCCAGCATTCAAGTGAGCATAATTAACAGAGACTTTCTTTCTTGGGCCGATTACCCTCCAAAAACCATGCCAACATTGTAACTGTAAGCAGTGAAAATCAATATTTATGAGGGGGATTGTGCAAGAGTTTGTGTGACAGATGGACATTTTATCACTGTTGATGTTTGGAATTCTCTTGAAAAGTAATGTAATATCTTCATATTTATGAATGAAAGAACAAATGATTGTGCTTTGCTGTCTGGGATTTCTTTAAAAAGAGGTGTGTTAAATCTTTGTTCTCTGTTTAACCGCTATTACTTTATGTTCAGCACCCTCATATATTCTCATGCACAAGCTGAAAAATCATAATTGTGTTTTTATTACAGATACGGATCCACGTGTTTTAGAAAAACAAGAATTACAGCAGCCAACCTATGTTGCCCTCAGTTACATTAATAGGTAAGCCGTTTTCAGAATTTATAGCAACCTCGTATCTACCACATGTTTATTCTTCAAATGCATCTTTTTAACAGTAGGAAAAAATTGCTTTCAATCTGAAGCTATTTGCCGGAGAGTATTTAACATCAACCTCTATACAGAACTTTCCTGTTTTCTCTGTTGCAAAGATGTAGAGTTGTAGTTCTCTGTGCATATGGCTGAAAACATGACTGATTTATAAGCTCATTCTGGAAGTATTTTGTATGCAGACTTAGAATATGCTCTTTTGACTTCATAGGGCAGTTTGGGAGATTAATGGATTTATGTTTGAGTGAAACTTTTAAACCCTCGGGTGAAGAGGTACTTTATGAATTCAGAACATAGTTGGAATATCAGGATATATCCGCATATAACAAACCGAAATAATTTAATATCAGAAAGTTATTTAGTAGCAGCTCATTGGTAGTAAAAACATTCTCAACAATGGACCCCATCTGTGTAGAGTAACATGAGTTTTTCCTGAAACTGAACGTGCGAGCGTGACTTTGGAGAACACTTAGAACTCGATACAAGTCTCACAGAGGAGCTAGGAGACTGATTTCTGGAGACAACCTAAAATCAACTCACGTCAAGAAAACACACATCCCCGAAGAGAAGCAGGCAAAGTAAAAGCAAAACTGATTTTTAATGAGAATGAGATCTTCTGCTCATAATTCAGAGCATGAATTTCTATTGACTGCCCCTTTTTTTTATATGAGGCAAAGAGTGGTTTCAGCCTCTGGGTTCCAGAGCTGAGGTTCAGGGTCTGAAGTAGAAAGTGAGGAATGAATGGTCTGTGCTGTTTCACTTTGATGCATTTGGGGTGGAAAACTTACTCAAATCTTTAGAGAGCTTTGAGTTGGAGTTGCATGTACTCTGCGTGGCTTTAAAATGATTTTTTAACATAAACGTCTACTTGCATATTGCCTTTGGATGTCTTGCTTATCAGTCTTTCCTGGAAGTGAGATAAAGTATCTACAGTTTCTTATTGCCTGTAAGTTTTGAAATGTTTTAAGTAGAATACCTTCCAAATCACACCAGATACAAATAAAGATGTATATACTTATCTGGATTTCTCATAAAACTGGTTTCCAATGATTAACATGGGTCTTAAAGTCTTTAATTATACTTTAGAATTATGTGTATGTAACATAGGTTAGTTAGCCTACTAATATTGGGCAGTAGAATCTATAGGCTTTGTGGTATTGAATAGGAGTTTTTAATAGCTCGGCTATTGTTTTAGGTAAAATATGTTATGTACGTATATACAAATTTGTATAATACCAAACCTTATTCTAATAAGAATGTATGAGATTAAAAAAAATTTTTTTAATGTTTATTTTTGAGAGAAAGAGAGACAGACAGACAGAGACAGAGCGTGAGCGGGGGAGGAGCAGAGAGAGGGAGACACAGAATCCGAAGCAGCCTCCAGGCTCCAAGCTGTCAGCACAGAGCCTGACATGGGGCTCGAACTCACGAACCATGAGATCGTGACCCAAGCCAAAGTCAGACACTTAACCAACTGAGCCACCCAGGCACCTCTGGAATGTATGAATTTTTTACATTCATTCATTCATTCATCATCTTGTCAGCCCGCAGGGCTCTATAGCTGTATAGCCTGCAGGGATTTATTCATTGCATAGGCCTCATACTCCCCAAAGAAATACTCTGCCAAGTGCGACCTGGGACTACAAAAATAGACAAAGAATAGGGACAGGGGCCACACACACAAAAACCACCAGAGAACTTGGATCAAGTATGATAGTTTAGCCTAAAATGTACAGTAGGGTAAGCCCGAATCCCAAAGAGTCTTGGCATAGGAAAAACAGAGAGGTGAACATGAGATTCCTAACTCGGAATTCACCTCATCCTGCCCCAGAGGACACAGAGTAGACGTACGAGGGGATTGATATGTTTGCCAGTGATCTCTAGGTTAAGAGAAGGACTGTGTATGGACGGTTGCCCAGGTTACTAACAAGCTTTTTCACCCGAGATCCTTTTGTGCACAGTGCTGCATTTGTAACATGGTACTTAACACGTGATAGGCACTCTGGGTATTTGTAGGTGAGAGATAAACACCTAGTAAATGAGAGGACTGAGCAATGAATAGCTGCAAGGAGGAAGCCAAGTCTGGCACCAGGGAAAGATATGCTAAAAGGAACCTTAGGGCCCTTAGACATAGAAGGGAAACCTTGAAGGTCACATGCAGCCAGTTCAAAAGTCAAGAAGAGATCAAGAAGGGTTAGGTCATTGGAAATAAAGCTCAACGGCAATATCCTGAATACAGCAGAAATGAGTACTATTGGGAAAAAAAACAAAGTTGATCAAATAAAGGTGTTTTTTTTTTTTTTCCCCTCAAACCTCAGGGGAAAATAAAGTCTAATTTTGCTGAGCAGTGAAGACTGAAAAAGATCTCTCTGCTCATATATTTGTTTATACAACTCTAATGTACTTTTGAGCATCTCAAAATTGAGATGAAACTGTCTTTGGCAAGAACTGAATTCAACAGAATTTGGGTTCCTTAAAATGGAGCTAGCTTTTTGGATAATAAAAAGAAAAGAGCTGAGTGGAAACTGGAGCCTTTATTTATACTTATTTTTTCAAATTTTAAATTATAGTTAACTATACCTATTTTAAATTTCTTTACTCTTGAACATAACGTGTTGAGCAACTCTTGAATTCCTTGCAAGGCGAGTCTGTTTCAACATCTGAGCAAATTTTAAAATGTAAATGGTTTAAGGGCGCCTGCGTGGCTCAGTTGGTTAAGCATCCGACTTTGGCTCAGGTCATGATCTCACAGTCTGTGAGTTCAAGGCCCCATCAGGATCTGTGCTATGACAGCTCAGAGCCTAGGGCCTGCTTTGAGTTCTGTGTCTCCCGCTCTCTCTCCTGCTCGTGCTCTGTTTCTCTTTCTCAAAAATAAAGAAACCTTTTTAAAAAGAGGAAAAAAATGTAAATGGTTTAATAAGAATGAGAGAGACTGAATGAATTAGTAGGGTTATGGGAATAGTTTGGGGCTGGGGAAGCTGGATATGAGCTTTAAGGACAGGAAGCTCTGTAAATTTTGTGATGTGAGGATCAAAGAGAAGTCCATGTAATGGGAAATTTAATTACATCGTCTGTATAATCTTATACCTGGAACGTAAAAAGGGCAAAAAGAAAAGCTACAATATTTTGAATCAGAGAAAAGATAGAAACAATACTAGAAAGAACGAATGTAACACTTATGCTTGGAACTCGATGCTAAGACCTTTTTACATATTTCAGTCTTCACGGTAACCATCGGAAGGAGGTACTGTGATGATCTCCACTGGGCAGGCGCGGAAGTGGTGTCACAGAAGTTCAGTAACTTGGGGTAGGTCTCCGGGTGGTAGGCAGGCGAGTATTGGTTCTAACCTCTGCTGCCAGCCTCCAAAATCTGGGTTCCTGATCACTGATCACTGTACAGCCCGATTTGTTGGGAGATCAGAGAGAGAATTTGGAAAACTAATGTTGGAAAAATATGGTAGGACAGCCGGGCAGAGGGGACACAGACCTAAAAATCAGAGTAACTGCCATGCTGTAGATAAGCGGACAGTAGCAGCCTAATAAAATCAAACATTAGGAGATAGCAGGGGCCACGGCCACTGTGAGCGAGGCCACCAGTAATTCCTAAGTGATACGTCGCTTCTGGGAAAGGAGCTGAGTGTGCCAGGCACATCCTAGCATAGCAGGCCTCAGCTGTGCAGGGGAGGGATGCCTCCCCATCTCGGGGAGAGAGAGAGAGGGCGGAGCTCAGGGCTTTGAGGGAAACCATCTAACACTCAATGTGTCACCAAGAGGCAAATGATGGGTGGGCTGCAGGGTGAGTCTCCTTAGAAGGCCGATGAGAAGCACTGGGCTGCACCTGTGGATTTCCTTCAGGTTATTGTGATGTCGTTCGTTCAGGTAGCCACCTTGAGGTGACAGGATAGCTTATTAGTAACTTGTGACCCCCCTAAATGGGTAACTGAACTAACTTAAAGATGTAGTAACCTACATGGTCATGGCTGCTCGTTGTATTATCGTTTCTACAAAATGTTCTTCCTAAGATGAAATTTCCAAAGTTTAAAAATGTGTATATCATCTTGGCATGTGCTGTAAAGTGATATCCTACCTGGACACAAATTGGTACCTTCTTGCAGTCAATCCTTGTCATTTACTACCTAATAAAAGTTTAATATTTTCTTACACCTTAACTACAGCTCTACTCAAATTCTCTTTGTAAGACTTACTGCGCAGCTGGGCACGGCAATAGTTAGGTTTCTCTTCCTCTGAAAATGAATTTTTATTTAGCTTAACGTTTTAGTTATTAGTGTTTGCTATTAAATAGCAAACTCTTTTTTAATTTATTTTTATTTTTAATGCTTGCTTATTCTTGAGAGAGAGACAGAGTGTGAGCAAGGAAGGGACAGAGACAGAGAGGGAGACACAGAATCCGAAGCAGGCTCCAGGCTCTGAGCTGTTCGCACAGAGCCCAACGTGGGGCTCGAAGCCACAAACTGTCAGATCATGACCTGAGCCAAAGTTGGACACTTAACCGACTGAGCTACCCAGGTGCCCATTAAATAGCAAATTCTAAAATGGGTTTCAAAGGACAGCAATTCCAAGGGGTCTTTTCTTCTGTGTCTGTCTGTCTGTCTGTCTGTCTGTCTCTCTCTCTTTTTTTGTCTGTCTGTCTGTCTCTCTCTCTCTTTCTCTCTCTCTCTCTTTTGCGCTCACACACACACACACACATACCTCATTTACTCATAGAGAATGCTGTGGTCTATTAAGTTTGGTAAATTTTGATTTAAATCCTGCAGTAAAGAAACCCATTTTATTAATCAGATCTTATCCTTCCTTTGCTGCTATACAATTGAAGTCTCTAAGAGAAATGATCTATTGCTTATACAGACCTAATCCCAGAGTACTTTTTCTGGAAGCATCTGATGGGACTAGTTTTACATATACCAGCAGGAGGT